CGGGGCCAGGGCCTCCGACGCCTCCAGTGTCCCGCGAAGCCGGGACCCAGAGGCCGGGCCCGGCCGGTGCTTCTGTGGGCGCTGCTGAAAGCCCAGCTCTGCAGGAGCTACAGGCGTGAGACCTACCGGGACCCGCTAGCGGAATCGGGGCTGGGTGATTAGCAGAGCCGCTTGCGAGGCTGACCCTCTCCAGGATGCCCCATGTAAACCTGGATGTCAGTTACTGGCGCTGTAGCTTAAACCCAAAGGTCAATCTGAGCGAACCCTTGCTTCCCTCGCCTGCAGGGCGGAACCCCAAGGCGCATTAGCCCAGCGCGGCTGCTGCATTCTTGAGCCAAGACCACCGGCGCCTGCGCCTCCTCGAGTCCGCTGTCGCGTCCAGCTGGTGTAGAGAGTTGAAATCCCACTTTGGGCCGGGCGCGGTGGCTCACGGCTGTAATCCTAGAACTTTTGGGAGGTCGAGGCAGGCGGATCACTTGAGGTCGGGAGTTCGAGACCAGCCTGGCTAACATAATGAAAACCCCGTCTCTACTAAAAATACAAAAATTAGCCGGGCATGGTGGTGCGCCTGCAATCCCAGCTACTCGGGAGGCTGAGGCAGGAGAATCACTTGAACCTGGGAGGCAGAGGTTGCAGTTAGCTGAGATCATGCCACTGCACTCCAACCTGGACAACAGAGCGAGACTCAGTCTCAAAAAAACAAAACAAAAACAAAAACAAACCAAAAAAAACGAAGAAAGAAATATGATTGGACCAGAAGGCCAATAACCTGAGTGGGGAAACCCAGCAAGGCCTGTCCATGTAGATTCTTCTTGGCCTCTCTCTGCAGCAGTCCTTCCTCCTGAGGATGGGGCAGGACTCTCTCTGGGATGGAGGGGTCTTAGGACCTGCAAGCAAACAAGGTAGGTCAGATAATTTATTTATGGCCAGTTTTTACCCAGAAACGTGTGGGAGAAGGTTAGAGTAATATTTTTGGGTTCGATGTCTGGCTTTGGGGGAGAAGGGCTCTGGTTTCTATGACCTGCATTGAGGAAGAAGGATTCTAGTTTCTATGGCTGGCCTCTGAGGAGAGTGAGGGGCCGAAGACAGGAGGGAGGGAGAGGGTCAGAGAGAGCTGCTCCTAAGGCCTGCGTTTTGGGGTATTGTTTTCTGAGACCCTGGAGTAATCAAGCAGCCACAGTAGAAAACAGTTCCATTTTTTCCTGTTTGCATAGAAAAGATTTTTTTTTAAATTAAAAATAGAGATGGGAGGGTCTCACTATGTTGCCCAGGCTGGTCTCCAGCTGTTAAGCTCAAATGATCCTCCCGCCTAGGCCTCCCAAAGCACTGGGATTACCGGTGTGAGCCATTGCATCTGGCCACAAAAGATGGTTATAATTAGTTGTGCCACAAAGTTTCTCTCTTCATCTGTTTTCTTAAACTAAGACACTAGCTGAGGGCTGGGTTTTCTTTGGAAAAACCTGACCTCTTTCCCTTCTCTGCTTTCCCAGTCACACTAATTCACTCCAAATAGGAGCAACCTATGTGCTGTGTTCTCAGCCCTCCCCTCCACTGCCTCACAGTCAACAGTGCCAGGTGGAGCTGGGCCAGGAAGGTGACCTTCGACTAGTGACTTCAAAGCTCCCCTCACCGAGTCCTAGCCGGCAGAGCTACTGCTCTGGCCCTAGGATCCAGAAGGCTGAGCCCAAGGAAGGGCTGCTTTTGGGCCCCCCAGAGTCTGAGACCTCTGTCAAAGGCCTGGTCTTGGGCCAGCTTGTGCCAGAAAAGACCCCTTATCCCTTTGACTCTGTTCAGAATTCTGTTGCTCCAAACACAAGTAGAGATCATGGAAACCTCTGGCATTTGACCTTCCTGCCAACCTGGTATTATCAGGTGCCTGGATCTCAATGTCCACACCTGTAAACTGGAAGGCTGGACCCCTGAAGATCCTTCTGGTTCAAACAATGAGACTTATGTATGTCAACCACCCACACCACCACCTCTGAAATGGTGGTAATGAAATTGCTGCCCCCCTCCCCCTACCAAGGACTCCACCCTTCCTCTGCATGGTGGACTGGTATCTCAGAGGCCTGGCCAGAGGCAGCACTGTAGGTGTGTTCCAGAGTCTGGCTTTTGCCTGCTGAGGGATCAGAGAGGGAGCACTTGTGTTCCTTGTAAGCACAGCAGCAGCTGGAGGCAATTGAAGCAAAATCTTTAAACTGCCTCTAACTGCCTGCCTCCTAAGCCCCCAGCTCCATGCCAGCCTTTCCCATACAATCCCTGTTTGATGAGGCAGCTGATGCCAGCTCCATTGGCTCGTAGAGGTTTCCACACTTGCTCAATGGCGCACTGCTGGGAAGTAGTAAAACTCCAGTTCAAATCAATTCCAATCCTGTTGTTGTTGTTGTTGTTGTTTCCGAGACAGGGTCTTACTCTGTTGCCCGGGCAGGAGTGCAATGGCATGATCAC